CGCGACGTTGAGTCACGTTGACACGACACATAGAAATGTCCCTTTTACAATAATTGTACGCTCGACTACTGTACCCTAATCGAACGTGCCGTCCCGAAAGCGTGAATTCTGTCGGGAAACGTCAAATGGTGTACCATCGGTCAACTTCTGATACATGTTAACCGCTTTTGACGAAACGTTTGAAGATGATGCACCTCTGGACGTTTTCCCCTTCAAAAGTGTAGCTGGGTCGAAGCTACAGCAACATTGCCGTGAGTTAGTAAGAATGAAGAACGAGAAACAACTTCCAGTACTCACTGCGAATTTCTGTGCCAATGGACAACAAAATGTCCATCCAGTGGTTTTGACAAGTGATAGTCCACCGACCCTTGTCGTAATACAGTCGCCTTCGAATTATCGTTTGGGTGTTTTTAAGCAAAGGAGATGATAGAGCAAACACCGTTACATCTGCCAAGGCGTAACTTTGGCTTTTTATATCTACGAAATACTCAAGTTGAGTAGCTCAACGCAACTGGTAAGGAACTAATTCCTGCCTTAAGGGTCACGAGTCCAACGGGCGACTGTCGTCCAGTTCTCACGAGAACGCTCACGAGCAGGAAGTATCACGAGAATACTATGCATTATTACAAAATAGTTTGGTCCAGTATCGGTCGCTTCATTTTTAACATAGCAGAGGCAAAACGTAAAACTAAGCAGAAAAAAAACTTACATCAATTTTAATGTATCGGCTAGCGTTCCCTACACTCTATCGGCCTACTGTCGACCATTTGGGTGCCAACTCACAAGACAGGAAGTGTGGCTTCGGACATCTACACGCTAACGCTGTTGGGCTGGCCGACCGCCTTACCGTTTGCAGACGCGCTGACTTTGATACCCGAGAAGGTCCAGCCCGAGACCACCTTCGGGTTGGCAACAATGTCGTACAAGTTGGTGGCCGAGCCGGTCAGACCAGAGATCGTCACACCTTCGATCGTGACAGCACTAGTGGGAGAGCCTGTGTAGCCCCCCTTGGCCTTGCTGTAGTCCGAGTGCATGACAATGGCGTTCTTGACGTTCTGGAGCTTGTTGTCAACGTACTTGACGTTGGAGACCAGACCCTTGAGACCGACGATGGTCTTGATACGGATACCGTTGTCGCTGTTCTGAATGGTGTTGCCCTGCACAGTAAGACCCTGCACCGTCGAAGACTGGTCGACTGCGTTGCCGCCGAGAGACCCGATCGACACACCGTGGCCACCGCAGCAAAGGTTGTTGCTAAACACCGTGTTGGTACTGGATTGCATGGCGAGACAGTCGTCCTGGTTGTAGATCTTGTTGCCGGTGATGGTGATGTGGTCATTCTTGGTCAGGTCGAAGCCGTCCGTGTTCTTAGCCAGACCGTTGCCGGCACTCGAGTCGAGCGTCAGACCGCTCAGCGTGGTCTGCTTGGACGTGACAATGCTGAACGTGCGGAACGGGGAGTTCTTGAGCGTGAAGCCCGACAAGGTCGAGCCCACGACGTTCTGCAGACGGAAGAACACGGGTCGAGTGATCGACTGTCCCTGCTTCCAGTACCAGGCGCCCTGGCCGTCGAGAATACCGGAGCCCTTGACCGCGAGGCTGTTGCCTCCAAGCAGAACGAGGGGTCCTTCCCACTTGGCCGGTCCGAACGTCGTAGTGCCGGTGAACGTGATGGTAGCGCCGCTCTTGGTCTTGCTTAAGTCCAACGTGACACCGGCAGGCACAGTGAGCGAGTCGATAGTCACGGAGCTGCAAGATGAGATGTCGGTGCCCTTCTTGTAGGTGCCGGTTAGATTACAACCACTGCTGCTGCTGCTGGTGGTGCTGGTACTGCTCTGCTGTTGTTGCTGCACTTGCTGCTGATCAGACTTGCTCTTGCCTTCGGTTTCCATGCGGAGCATGGGCGAGCCATTGACGGTGGCAGCGAGCAGAGCAAAGGCAGCGAATGCAGTGGAGAGAAGCTTCATCGTTGAGGCGTGGAGTACAGCTCGGGTGGTTGTGTTGGAGGTGCTTCGCCAAAGGCAAGTAGGAAAGTGAGGTCTGAGATCGAGATGGATCAAAAGTTGCAACGAGAATCTCGTGGACCCAGGAGGTAATCCATTGAGCCAGGGCCCGTTAGCTCGCTGCGGTGTTCGAACGGCACGGGAGGTCCGGCTCAAGCTCCACCAGCCGAATACCAGGCCAAAAGGCAGTCAGCTTGGGTTGTACTGAATCGGTGCATTTTGTGTCGTATGTGGGCAAAATACGACCATCGCCTCAACTTCGGAGCGTAACAAGTGTTTTCGACGAAATTGGCCGCTGTACTACTGCGTTGAAACGAATGAGCTACATGTAAAGCGTAATTAGCGCCTGGACCCTCTCAGGGCTCCTGCGTCAGGAAGCAGAAAGGTGAAGTCACAAGGCCATCAGCTCCGAAACTCTGAGCTCGTAGGTGCATGCAGTCTAACCTTGAAGAACGTTGGATTAAAACCTTATTTCTCGTAAATCTTGCTGGTCGCCACATTTAATCAAAAGCTCCAGGCACAACATAGCAACAAAAGGGTAGTCGCGCTGTCTTCGTGCTTTCGTGTTGCCAGTGCTATATGTAGTGTTCTTAGAATCTGTCATTGCCATAGAAAATAAATAAACCATCTCGACGGAACTACTGTATGTACAGCCACAGCTTTGCAACGAGACGCTATCCAGGACATGTGCTGCCAGTTATCGCGACGTTGAGTCACGTTGACACGACACATAGAAATGTCCCTTTTACAATAATTGTACGCTCGACTACTGTACCCTAATCGAACGTGCCGTCCCGAAAGCGTGAATTCTGTCGGGAAACGTCAAATGGTGTACCATCGGTCAACTTCTGATACATGTTAACCGCTTTTGACGAAACGTTTGAAGATGATGCACCTCTGGACGTTTTCCCCTTCAAAAGTGTAGCTGGGTCGAAGCTACAGCAACATTGCCGTGAGTTAGTAAGAATGAAGAACGAGAAACAACTTCCAGTACTCACTGCGAATTTCTGTGCCAATGGACAACAAAATGTCCATCCAGTGGTTTTGACAAGTGATAGTCCACCGACCCTTGTCGTAATACAGTCGCCTTCGAATTATCGTTTGGGTGTTTTTAAGCAAAGGAGATGATAGAGCAAACACCGTTACATCTGCCAAGGCGTAACTTTGGCTTTTTATATCTACGAAATACTCAAGTTGAGTAGCTCAACGCAACTGGTAAGGAACTAATTCCTGCCTTAAGGGTCACGAGTCCAACGGGCGACTGTCGTCCAGTTCTCACGAGAACGCTCACGAGCAGGAAGTATCACGAGAATACTATGCATTATTACAAAATAGTTTGGTCCAGTATCGGTCGCTTCATTTTTAACATAGCAGAGGCAAAACGTAAAACTAAGCAGAAAAAAAACTTACATCAATTTTAATGTATCGGCTAGCGTTCCCTACACTTTATCGGCCTACTGTCGACCATTTGGGGGGCAAACTCACAAG